ACCATAATGCACAGTGCCATGTTTGACAAAAAAACAAACACAGCGTATCAGAATCAACAAAACAAGAATTAAGGTGCCTAATCAAAGTCCAGACATCAACCATATTGAAATGTTGTGGCGGAACCTTAAGAGGGATGTGCATAAAGGAATTTCTGCAAATCTCAAGGAACTAAAGTAACTTTATAAAGAAATCCTTTCACAAAGATGGAAGAGACTAAGAGTTGTATAGAACATAATTACTTGGAGTGCTGATGCTGAGTGGTGGTTTTACAAGCTATTAAATATGGGATCACACAGTGTTTTTGGTGTTTTGGCTTCATTTTTGATAAATAAATCATGCAGTTAAATATTATGTAACAATGTAACAAGTCGTGTTGTTGTTAATCTAATGTTTGCACTTTAAGGACTAGTAAAGCGCTATACAAATACAGGCCATTTACCATTTAATAATTTGAAATTTGGCAAGGTTCAAGAAGGACGGAATGTGTTTTTGTAATTATTTTTTGACATATAAAACCTTCAAACTGAGAGTCTTTTTGACCATACATGGATCACACAATAATTCCTAAAACTGTACAAGATCAACAGGACCCTAAGAGTCCTTAGCAAGTGTTCAATGGGATGTGAAGAACAATACTAGGCCAACTGCAAACCAATTGCTTGAGTCAACATCAAGTATGGGAATTATCAAGGAGATGCTCTGTCCAGAACAGACAGAACTGAGGAGATTGCACTACCAGAAAGCAACATTGCAGACACTGAGGATGGTCTACAAGTACCTTGAAACCACACAAAAATAGGAACCGGGAAGAGGCCACTAGGAAAGCTGCAAACACCAAATACCTGCAGAGAATAAGGCAAGTCCTGAGGAGTCAGCTGAATGGGAAGAACAACATATTTCATTTCCTTCAAGATCTTTCTTTCATTCAGAACTTACGCCTTGGCGGTCGCCAGGTACCCTGCTGGGATAATAAGCTGGACAAATATATATCTAAAATAAAATTGAAATGTAAAATTGTTATCAAATATGAAATGATCAGTAATGCTTGGTTTAAATACCACAATGAATGAAATAGCTGACAAATAAAGAAACTTCATGGATTGATCTTATGAATCCCATTTTGCCACAACATTGTCCACAACTGTTTGAATTTGGACAAATGTGTGTTGTCATAGTTGTATGTATTTGAATGGGGGAAGCTTTTCACTGTCCATTTGCAGGATTTTCACTTTAATCTTGTGTCTCGTATCTCCTTATTTTCTATGTCTGTGCTTTGATTAAAGTGCAGCATTCAAGCCCAGTGGTGGGGATTACTCTGGCTTTGTTGAAGGGGTTTAAAGAAAGGGTCAAAGTGCACCCTCTTAATTTGGGCCCCCAAGGGCCTCTAGGTAAGTGCCGGTGCCTAATTAACATCTAGAGACCCTTTTTTTGCTCAGGTTTGGTGCTTGTGGAGGGGTAGAATGGGAAGGATCAGGGGCCCCTGGAGCCATGATTTCACTGTGGTGTGTGACAGGTCATCGCTGCAGTTCTTTAACCCCACAGCATGGTAATTCAGACCTGCGGTCCAATCAGCTGTCCTATTTCATTTCTCACTTTGCGTGACAAGATGGGATCCTGAGCAATTTAGTCAGGTTTTTGTAATCTGCTATGAATAGTGGTAAGAGAAATGTTGGCAGCAGGCATAGATAAGGTCAGGGGTGTAGTTTGGCATATCAAACAAGGATTGGAGTGACCAGTGGGATTCAGCAAGCCCCAAATACTCTGTGGCAAAGTAATTGGCCATCAGGATATGGGGCAGAATGCAGTCATAAGCTGTCGTTTTAGCCCCGAAAGAGGCACAGATAAAGACAACGGTAACATAGTAGTTCAAATGAACTGAGTAGACATGTATTTTATCAAGGCAAACATAAGCACCAGCTGTGTTAGCTAATGAGAAAATGAAAAATATCCTATTCTCTGCTGAAACACCAATATACCTGTTTCCCATGACCTTGATTACAAACAGAGCTGACTGAGTTATCCCCACTCTCACATTCAAAGAGGACACAACGCTATCTTGACAGGAAGAAGAATGAGTCTTTGTGGTGTACAGGCTGATACTGAGATACCACACAAAGCCAGGTGATTCAGATAAAGAAATGCTCTCATATGAATGGATAGATGGATGGGCCGATAGATATATGGATGGTGATGATAACCATAATATCCTGGGGGCTTTCTTGGCCTGTGGGCGTTGACATGAGGGGGGATGTGTCATTAATCAGATGAGCCAGTGACCCTCCCCTGTTGGCCTGTGACATTACAGCGACATTGCTGCTGTTTCACTCCAAAGGTCCATCACATATTCTTGTGTGCATAGATACTCATGTCTTATAAATATATTTAAGCATCTTCGCTCAGTCCTGAAATCTGATACCTTACAGTAAGCTATTAGCTTACAGTACTGTGCTGACAATTTAGGATAGTTTACTTTGATTAAATCTAAACATTTAGTTTTTAATTTAGTGTCAGTAAAGATGTCATTTGACCATTAAGCCCACCACCTGTTTCATAAATGTAGAGATTATCTCGTATTTATTGGAGTGCTTTTTCATAAATTCTGCACTGGTGCTGAGTTTAAAATTAAACACTAGGGATTACACCAGCCACCACAACTATGTGTTCCTGATGATCTGATCTGATTGATGGTCTGATATCTTTGAGCATAAGAGTAACACATGTTCAACACCGATTTTTGTAGTTTCCACCACAGCAGGTGGGTATTACAAACTACAGCCAGTCTGTGTCTGGCATTATGGCGCAACTGGTAATTAATAGAAAATGGCCTTTTTAAATAGGAAGCAGCAGGAAACACATTCTTTTCTATATTCAGTAGCTGTCTTTAGCATGTAGTGGCACAAGCCATGTGATGTACACTTGGGAGACCAGTAGAAATGTACTGGTACTAATGCAGTAAAACAGTGGTCCCCAACCTCTTTTGCAACACAGACTGGTTTATGTCCGACAATATTTTCACGGTCTGGCCTTTAAGGGCTCGTGGATAAATACAACAAAATAAAACCAGTACCAGTAGAAAAGAAAGGAGATTCATTCATAATACACGGGAAAAGACCCAGAGAAACAATAAAAATAAACAATAATGATAAAAACCAATAAAAATCCTGAAAACCATAAGTTTCACACCTGCGCCTGGTACCAAACGACTCACAGACCAGTACCGGTCTGTGGCCCGGGGGTTGGGGACCGCTGCAGTAAAAAGAGCACTCACACAATAATGCAACTTCTTTCTCTGGTCTAAAATCTCCAACTTATTTATACCTCAAATTTGGGGGAAAAATGTAAAATGTGTTTCGTCTGTTTGAAATCACAAGATGAGAAATTAATTGCATTTAATTTGTTGTACATGTTATGCAACAGCAAGACAACCCTTTGAAATTTTCCCCGACGTCACAAACATATCTGTCAGTTTTGTGCGCAGGGCATTTTAAAGAAGTTTTGTGCTTTCATGGGGAGGTGATATACTCGACAGCTTTTCTGAGTAGTCTGTGAAGAACTGCCAGTGTAAATTAGGATGCCAGTTTTTGACATGACTTGCACTTTTAAGATGAAGTAACAGCTTTCTCTCTGTTTGACAGCCATAAGAGCCATGCAGATCTTTGAACACTCAGGAGAGACATGATTGGAATGTTATTATATTGATATGACTCACTGATATCAGCGAGACCCCCATAATGTATAAAAATCAGACATACCATCCTCTTACATTAATTAATCATCTATCAGCTCCTTGATGTTCAAATCTCTTGTCTCCTCATGCCTTCAAAGAAAACGATGTGGAATATTTTAGGGCAGAACTGTAAAACCACTCAAAATTGTACTTTGAAAGAGTTGCCGAATGACTTTGGAAGTTTCTTAATAAATACTTAAGAAAATATGGCTTGATTTACTTTTCAGATCAGTTAGAGAGGCTTTTTGGAGGGTGTCTGGAGCAGATAAGAATGACACAGAAGTCTTTTCGTTGCTTGCAAATCCCTAGAGTGGCTTAGGCCAGACTTACAGCCTGCAGGCCGGCATTGGTGTTGGCCTGTTCCTCGTGGACCATTGTTGTCAGTACATCATCCCAGACAACAAAACCATCTTCCACATCTGTAATCTGAGAGGTCACAAAGCTCTAGAGACTGAACTGAGAAAAAAATAGCCCGATGCCTTCAGGTAAAAGCCACAAGATGTTGACTACAGAGGGATGAATTTGAAAGGAGGCACTGTGACCCGAAGAAAAATCTCTCATGTTTTATGAATAGACTCCAGCAAGGCATAAGAAAGGGAGTTATTTCTGAATTCAAAGTGACTTCCTGCAGTCGATGTAGTTGATTTATTTGATGTGTTTGTTTGAATGCTCATGTTTTTCTTGTGTGTATTTATGCATATATATTTGCCAAGGGAATGTGTGTGTTCATCTCAGAATGAGCTATTTACCAACTCGTGCGCACCACCTACAAGAGCCTTTTTTATTGATGTACTATGATGAAGCATGAATGACATCCAGTCAATGGAGACCTCAGGGACACAGTATCAATATTATCAACAGCAGTGCCTTACTATGTTTCCTATTATTCAACTCAGTGAAAGACGACTCTAAGTTTTTCTTTTCACCTTTTTTGTTGATTTTAAAGGCTAAATATCGTTGTTACCACATATGACAATTATAAACCCATTTAAACAGCAAAAAGTTTACACTCATTCTAAGCCAGCTACAGAGAGCAGGATATTTGGCTTCTGCAAGCCAAGTATCTATTGGTTAAAGACTGAAGCCCAAGTTGTTCTCCAATGCATTCACTGGAGTGTGAGTGTTATACAGAAAGCACTGGTGACCAGTGTTGTGCGAATAGGTGAATTAAATGTTTTGCATAAAGCGCATTGTGTGCTCAAGTAGAGTAGAAAAGCACTGTATGACAGTCCATTTACTATCTGCCTTCGCATCTTCACCTTTTTTTCCCAGTTCTGAGAGATGATTTCCGTCAGACGCCCAGTGATGTGGTGGTGGCAGCAGGGGAGCCGGCTGTCATGGAGTGTATCCCTCCCAGGGGCCATCCGGAGCCCACCATTTCTTGGAAGAGAAACAACATCCGGGTCAATGATCGAGATGAAAGAATTACTGTAAGTTAAAAATAACCTAAACAAGTCTGGTTTAAGGTTCAATTGCATTTTACTTCTGGTGGAAGTTGTTACCAACTTGTCAGCTTTTTATACTTTTTTAAAATAAAATTTCAGGTAATTTTCACTCATTCATTTGTATTACTATTAACAGAAGACACTGAGCTGATAGATGTTAAAAGGCACATTTAGAATATATTTAAACCCAGACTTCCACACACATTACCCACTATGACCAAATGATGAATTGCGGCTTATTGAAGTTAGTTACCACAAACAGAGCAGTGAGTGATGCTTGTGTGACGACTGGCTTGGAGCGAGAGCCCTTGTCAAGTAATTTTAAGAACTAGCCAGAGAGCCATCTGTCATAACACACACTGAAAATGACAAAGTGGCTTCTCTCTCTCTTCACTAACATGCCTCAATATCCTGTTTCCAACATCTTTCCATGTCTTCTCTCTGTCCCCTCCTCCACCGTCGTGTTTCCTTTCGTCCTTGTCCACTTATCCACTCATCTGTTCCTTTCTGTTTCATCTTTCTGCTCTTCATTCTGTCTTTAATTTACGGTGCCCCTCGATTTCAGATCCGTGGAGGAAAGTTGATGATTTCAAACACCAGGAAAAGTGATGCTGGCATGTATGTGTGCGTTGGAACCAACATGGTTGGAGAAAAAGACAGTGATCCTGCTGAACTAGTGGTATTTGGTGAGTTGTTTTTACTGTGATTGCACTGTAATTAATCAAAGGACACTCAGCTAGCAAATATCGTCTGGGAAACTAAACATGAAGTCATACAGTCAACCTTATTAGTATCAAATATCCTTTTGGGAGCGTGCTTGATTGTTGTAGTGCTCACACAAACGTAATGGCAAAAGATAGATTGTTAACAGAATAAATTGGAGCTAATTTGCTTCCAGCTGTTAGCCAATTGGCTCATATATTAAGCCAAATTATCAATATAATTCCTCTGATCCTTTTAGAAATAATTCTTTGAGTTAAGTTGCTTCAACTGTGTTAAAATGTTCACTATAAGATTCCAAAAAACAGTGAAAGTATCTTGTATTTTGGGCCTGTCTGTATTTTTCTGGGGTTGGACATTCTTTCCTTGGCTGATATTGGAGGATTAGATTCATCTTTCCCACCCAGCTGCTCTTTGCTTTGCTCTCTTGACTTTTCTCCTCCTGTCTCTGATTCTCTGCTGTGCTCTCAGTGGAGCAGTACCACAGGCATCAAAGTGTGTATCGATCCCAGGAAACGGATGGAGAATTGATATTTTCTTTTCAGTCCCTTGGATCTCCTGTTCACCACCACCCACACTGCCACAAAATTTAGCTCCTTCTGCACATTGTAGTGCAGCAGTAAACTCAAACCCTGACATGTAATGCATAATCTATAAATTTATGGTTCCTTAAAATGTATGGCTTGGCGCTTTCCCTAATGTTTATTATTACTGCCATCTGCAAAATTGAAAGATAATAGCCAGTGCACATCTGCACTGTTTTTTCTGCCCATCCATTTTCTGCTCCCGAATCACAGACTGAGCAAAGTTGTCAAGACATTTCTCACCACCGCGACTTTTTATACCTCCAGCTGTGGGGAATGCTTTCACACTGACTATGATCATGGAAATACCTGCAGCTCTGAGTCTATTTAGTCTTACTTGATTCTCCAACATGTTTCACTGTGGTGATTGGACTTTGGTATTTAAAAGCTTTTATTTGCTGGGTTTTGAATTTAACCTACTGCAGCAATCTACTTCCAATGCTAGACAGGCTCTGTCAATTTTGAGATACTGCTAACAACAGCTGGTAAATATTTATTACCAGCTTGTGTGTGATTTGGTGTGGGGTCATTTTGTTCCTCGTTTTGTCTTAATAAAAGTTTAATTGTGTTCAAATCAAGTATTAAGAGTCATGGTGAGAGTGTCCCATTTTGAAATTGTTTTTAGTGCAAGGTTTAACAATTCCAATCCCTCAGTGTTTTTTCCCCCACATCATTCTGAGTAAACTGCTATGGTGCAGCAAATGGACATCAAATTATTCTCTTTATACGGCCAGCCTATTCCATATGTGTCCACTCATCCATTACATGGGCAGTCCTATAAAGTGCTAACAAATGTGAAAAGTCAAGCTGTAATTAATAGGTATGAATTCTTATCCTCTTTCTGCACTCATATCTGTCTAATTTCAGAGAGGCCAGTGTTCACCAAACAGCCGGTGAACCAGGTGGTGTTGGCAGACGATACAGTGGACTTCTCCTGCGAGGTACACGGAGACCCGACTCCGACTGTCCGCTGGCGCAGAGAGGAGGGCGAGCTGCCTCGGGGCAGGTCCGACAACAGCAGCGCAGTGCCGTTGCTGCACACTCACAAATCACTGCACTGAAACTCAATCCCCACTGCCTCACTGTTACTTAGATACATCATTTGTTGCTCCAAATAGCACTTGTTACTATCATTTCACTAATAATATAACAGCTTCCAATTAGAGAGCAACTGTTTGTCCATCCGATTTTCTTATAGTTAGGTGTGAAGGAAAGTAATTCAGATGATTTTCTGTGAGTGGAGGAAGTCCAGCTGACTTGAATTTGCCCCAAAAATTACATGTATAAAAAAACATATTAAAGAAAAGAGAAAACACTATCATTCGCTTTTTTTGTATGTAACGACCGAGAAACGGAAACAAATCAAAGCTCCCGCTGAGCTCGTAATGATTGCTTTTTAAGTGCTGTGCTGCTTACAATACAAATAGAAAGTTATTACTAGAATCTAAATGTGTGAGTCCTGTGGCACAGCAGCTTGTGTTAGTAACGGATGGACAGCCATCCCTGTCGTAAGCTACTTATTTGTTAATCAGTAGAGTTTAGTACTACGAGACATGCTCAGAAAGGAGTATCATGTGGTGTTTGCACCATGACACCATCACTGTGTTACTGTGAGAGCCCTACTCTCTCACACCTGTCTGCATGATTGGATGAAACTTTAATGACCTGTCAGGGGAAATAAGGTAAAATGTTCCCTTGTCAACAGCACGACTCAGGCCTGTGTCCACAGAGCTGTGCAGTAAAAACAAAGCTGTATGTTTAAAAATCTGATTGGAACATTTAAACAGCCATATTTTTTTTTAAAAACATGAAAACTACCAAAATGTATTGTTCTAGTAGTGACAACGCTCACACATTTACTGAACCAGACAACGTCATATTCATTCAAACCATCTTTTGAAGATTTCAGAACATGAATGTAACACTTGCGTTGACTTTTTCAGATTTGAAATCCGCAGTGAGAATAGTCTGCGTCTGACCCAGGTGCGAGCTGAAGATGAGGGCACCTACACCTGCGTGTCAGAGAACAGCGTCGGCAAAGCGGAGGCGTCGGCTGCCCTGCAAGTACACGGTACAGATGTACACAGGCACACTTATATATAAGATGTTTTAGTTTTACTGCATTCGTAGTGATTCAAAGTGTAAAGGGCTATATTTAAACATTTCACATATTTATGTAAGATGTTTTTTGAAAATTAGAAACAATCAACAATTGCTCCAAAAGTGCACAGACTTATTGAAGAATCTTTCTAGAAATACGGTTTGAACAGCCATGATTGCACGAGTAAACTGTTTGCACAGATGGGCAGCTTTGCTATGATGCACCACAATCTGCCCACTTGTCACCTACAGGAATGCTGTCTCATTTCATTCTTGTTCTTTTCATTCTGGTTGTTTATGTCAGACGGCCAGGATTTTAAGAACATTGTTTCTACGTGGAGACACCGCCTATTAAAACGTCAGAAAAAGAGGCTGCTAGACATGAGTTGGTTATAACTCCCCCATATCATGCCATTGGTAATCCACTGTTAACTGAAGATTACAGAGAAATGAAGTGAAAAATGGATTTTAAGTTCCTTTCAAGCCTCAGCTCGTCATTCCTCTGGAGAGAGATCCGAGATCAAAAAGAACTGAAATTGCATGGGAATAAAGTCAGTCCCTTGAAGAGAGATGCTCAAATGAGAAAGCTGTCATTTGTGATGATAAAAGGGAATTTTTAGAGTTTTATTCTGTAACACTCGGTGCAGTGAGTGGGCCCTCTGGTACTCCTGAACACTCGCACACACCTTATGCTCGTATATGTATAAAAATTCAGCAGCGAACAGACAGACAGATACATTTAAAAAAAAATAACATGCAGAAATACACAACATGCACCTACCTGTGCATAATGCACTTTTGAAATGGTGATTTCATGTATTAAAGAAGAACAGCTATCCAAACGAACAGCTATGGCCCTGTGTGAAAAATGAAGTGCCCGCTAAACATCTCTCAAGGATTGTGCCACCCTTGGCTGTCAATGAGTCTTGCACTGACGAGGCGTTCTAGTCCACTATTCTTTGCAGAATTTTTTAAAGTCCTCCACATCGAGTATGAACAGCCAGTTTAAGGTCATGCCAAAGCTTTTAAGGCCAAAAAATGAAGGTGTATTTTGTGTCTTTCTGAGCCATTTAGAGGCTGGTGGTGTCTATCAGGGATCTTTGGGGCATGAAGAGATGGCCAGACATTTTCCTTCAGGGTTTTCTGGTAAAGAGCAGAATTTATGGCTGGCTAGCTTCTGAAGCAGCAAAGCAGCCCCAGACCATAACACTGCTGCCACTGTGTTTGACTGTTGGCACGATCAGAATATCTTTTGGCAAACTTGAAATTGGCCTTTGTGTTCGTTTTAGTCAGCTGTCTACTGCGTCTGCGACCCAGTGTTTTGTGTATTTTAGTTTTTAGTCTTTGATCATTGTATTTTCTGTGTTTCCTGATTTATTTTGAGAGAGTCTGGTGTGTCTTTGTCATTGTATTTAGGTTCACTTCCCCTGTGACATCATTAGGTTCATTTGTGTCATGTGTTTCCTCATGTGTTTCCACTCCCCCTGATCATCCCTTGTGTGTATTTAGTCTGCATGTTTCTGTTCACTCACTGTCAGGTTGTCTGTTATGCCACACCACACCATAGTTATCACAGTTTTCATAGATTCATAGTTTTTATCGCTAGTTTCTTAGTTTAGTTATTGTACCTTTTTCGCCTTAGTTTTCATGTTCTTGTGCTTCTGCCATCAGCACAAAATCGTTCAAGTTGAGTGCAGTGTTTGCTCTTGGATCTGTCAAACAAACACATCGGCGTACCTCGCCGTGACATCAGCAGCGGTTTTCACCACAGGACTCTCCCATGGGTGGCACCTTAACTGAGGCAAGCAAGGCCTGCGATTCATTAGATGTTTTTCTGGGTTCCTTGGAGCCATTTTGGTAGGCCAGTCACTTTTGGGAAAGTTGTTCCAGATTTCCTCCGTTTATGGATAATGGCTTTCACCATGATTCACTGGAGTCTTAAAGACTCCAGTGAATCATCACTTTGCAACCCTTTACTAACTGGTTTCTCATCTGTTCTTGAGTGTCTTTATATCATGGCATGACATGTTGGTTTTTGAGATACCCTACTAAGTCCTGATGTACTGAATAGAGGACATCCTGGGCTTTCCAATGATATCTCATGTGTTTGGGTGGCTTCCTTTGGCTCCAAAGAAGGAAGGAAATACCAAAAAAAGTTCAATGGGAAGATTGTTTTTTCCTCGGTTCTCAGGAGGATAGAATCAAATATGTTTGGATAACTTTTTTTCCGTCAATAGATGAAATCATCATTTAAAATCCTAATTTTGTATTTACTCACATTATCTTTGTTTGATCTGAATCACTGTCATAAGTGTTGCAAATGTGCAAAAGAGCAAAGAGAAGGCAAATTTTGCAGCACTGTAGCTGCAGTGGGGATCATAGGAATGCAACACAAACACATACAAAGGAAAATATATATTCTATTAAACCACAGCTAGTTACACGGTTAAGTAGGTATGGTGTTCCAAAATTTCAAATGTTTGAACTAGTTTCACCATCCATTGTCATCTCATCATGTTATTCAACTTTCTTTCTCTCTTTTCTTTCTTCCACCCATTTCTGCATCACTCCATCACAGTCGGCCCATCCTGTAAGTATTCCATTTCATCCCATCTGTGTATGGTTTTGTGTGTCTGTTTGTGTGTCTGTTTATGAGAGTTAATACAGTCCTACAGGTATAAGCTGTTTGCTACATTAGAGACCCAAACCTCTACCCTCTAGCACAGGTGCTTTTTCTGCCAATTAGGACAGCCAAGTATTAAAGCTAAAAACAAAAAACAAAAAAATTAAAGGGTTAGAAGGGTTTTGACCTTTCGTTACACTTATAGATAGAGCTTCAGTTACTAGAAAAAAAAACCCCCACTGTAAAACGTGGAGTCTCTGATTTAGAGCACAAACACTCACCTTTTGAAAAATAAATGGTTATTGCTGATTAATCCACACAACAACAAAAAAAAGAGTTATAAGGCAAAGCAGCCCCAGACCATCACACTTCGCCGCCGTATTGGACTGTTTGTGTGACAGCCTTTTTATGAAATGCTGTGCTGTTTTTACATCTGATGTAACGAAATTCAATTCTCATCAGTCCAAAGAGTATTTTTCCAGTAGTCGTGGGGATCATCAAGACGTTTTTGGCGTACATGAATTGGGTTATTGTGTTCTTTTTCGTGAGCTGTGGTTTCACCTTTGAACTCTGCCACAAATGCACTGATGATTACTTACCAAAGTAAAAATGCCAGCGTTTGGCTTGAACTAGGCAAATGGGGTTTAATGCGTACTCCCATCTCTAAATGTGCCTAATGTTGGGGAATAGAGAAAAAGGGATGAAGAATGAAAAAACCCCTAAAAAAGTGTTCAGTGGAAGAAACATTGAACCACAAAATGTTATGAATTATGAGGTTCTCTACATACCTATTATTTTTATGCAATTCCATTTTTGTCCCATTCACTGTGTAAGGACTGCCTGCGTGGCTGCTTCCATAGCTTATTCTTGGCCTATTTAAAACTTTACCAGCCTTCCAATTTATGTATTGATATTGGACAAATGGGATACAATTCTAGGCACAAACTTCACACTGAATATAAGCACAAATGAGATATATTACAGCTATAATAAATTATGCCCTGGAAATAATCACCTCCTCAATCATCATTTCAGAATGGAAACAGTCTCAGAAATGAAGTCTGTGTACTTAAGTGGGCGTGTGATGTTTCGTAAAAAGGTGAAGCAGCAGCGGCAACAGCACTGGAGTGTGTTTACTCTAGCAGATGCAGAGCTGCATCACCACGGGACTCTGACAGCTGCATGTCACATCTACGCCCCTAGGGAGCGAGGGGTGTGTGTATGATTGTGTTGATACAAGTGCGGATATCTTCAGCGTGTTGCTGAAAATCACATGTCAAGCATGGGTGGGGTGGCGCAGGGGAGGTGAGATGTTTTCGTTGTAAGCACTTTGTTTAGCTTTGCTACGTGAGTGACAGCAGTGGAACACAGTGTGAGTGGGAGCGCAGTGTGTGGGGAACAGCTCAGGCTGACGCTGGTTTGCTTCATCTTGTTTATGAGGATATTCCACTGATGATTTTTACTACCTCCACTGAAAAAAGGCTTTTTCCTGCATTAAAATCACACTTGCTACCTGCTCATTCACCACACTGATCTCCACACCCTTTCACCAACTTGCTGTTTCGATACTTTCAATACTGTCTGGCCGGGGGGCGGGGCTGTTGTTTCTAAACATTAGAAAGCTGCATGAAAGACACTGACCATTTTCAAATCTTTCTAATTCAGTGCTGACTGAATGAAGTTCGACAGTTTCCATCACTGATGAATAGATAGAACCACTTTATCCACAGTGTAGATGATCTTCATTTCCTTATTTTTTTGACCCTTTGTTGATGGTACGCTTTTCTGTGAAGCACTTTGGGATTTTTGACTTGAAAGGTGCTATACAAATAACATTTTACTTACTTACTTACTCCTTGTTGTGCTGCAGGCTGGGAAGTGAACAAGAACTACCATCACCTGCTTCTGTCCCATACAGTGGAATTGGAGAGTCACCCAAATCTATTGTTTGTCACACAGTACTTGAAATCTGAAATCTTAGCAGTGCAACCAACACCACAAGTAGATTCAAGTTGTGTGGAAAATCCTTGCTGATTGTAGAGTTATTTTATCAGGGATGGCAGAAGGGCTAATTCATGAAATTCAAGGAATTGACTAAACCTTTTGGAAATTTTTCATTAATATTTTTACTCTGGTCGCGGCAGATGGCCCCGCCCCTCCCTGAGCCTGGTTCTACCGGAGGTTTCTTCCTGTTAAAAGGGAGTTTTTCCTTCCCACTGTCACCAAAGTGCTTGCTTACAGGGGGTCATGTGATTGTTGAGTTTTTCTCTGTATGTATTGTTGTAGGGTCTACCTTACAATATAAAGTGCTTTGAGGTGACTGTTGCTGTGATTTGGAGCTGTACAAGTAAAACTGAATTGAATAAAAAGCTACAAATCCGAGCACGTTTGACTATTGGAGGAGCTCTGTGGGTTTGGAGGACATATGCTGATCACTTGCAGGAAACCTTTATAATGTTCGCTCCATCCAATCACATGCCCTTTATCTTATGGCATCATCTTATTGTTTTAGGAAGATTTGGCAAACTTATATAAATTTGCTAAATTTTCTAGACCTCCAGGGTTCCCATGTCAACGTTAATTAAACTCAACTTAAAGAATGAAGTTAAAACAAGTCAAATACCTCAAAATTAAACATTATTTCTGATCTGTAAGAGACCATTTACAACCATCCACAAACATTCAATGACACCAAGCAATTTACATGTAGACTAGACTTTCCTCCTTGAGTGTTGCATTTCTTTTCATAAAAGCTGTGGAAAGCTAAGCTACAGCCTGATGTCTATTTTTACTTCCCTCTTGGCATATTAGCTTTGTTATCTGTTCTACAGTTCTGGCAGTATACGCAGCATACAAAAGAAGTCTGCAAGATCCTTTGAGTTCCTATCTTAAGTGTTGCATTCTGTATTTAGAAATTTCCCAATGTACCTCCCAGACACCGACAGCAACAGTTAGCAGTATGCGGTGCTTAATGTGTGCTGGCTCTGTGTTTCATAAAATTAGTAAATGAACATACCGTGGTATTTTAGAAGTCGAGTCAGTTTAAGGCACAGCAAAAATTAACTTACCAAAAAAAACAACCTGCATCTCTGAAAGTTAAATTATTATAAGAGTGACATGCAGGCATTGTTCCCTCTTGTTTTTCATCTATATTTCAGCTGCTCTGTTACAATCCATACTCCCATTTCAATCCCATTTGAGGATGCTAATGTATCTCCCTGCCCTAAATCTAAGGCTCAGTGTCATGCCGGGTGCACCCATTATTGCTAATTATTTATTACAGCTTCAGGCAATGTGCCGGCTTGCCTCCTCAAATCAAACACTGTTATTCTCTAGACACGGCTGTGTAGTGGGCCAAAAACAGCATTTTAATAGCTCAAATATTCCTAGTTGTCAGTGTATTTGGGTCAAAGTTACGGCGTTGTGTCAGGTGTGAGGAGAAAACGTTCAGGTGTTGACATGTTTTTGTTAAATACCCTGCTGAGAAGTGCACAAGCATATTTTTCTATGTATTTTCATTACGTGTATGTGCACAAGCATGGATATGAATTACATAAGAAGTGAGCATTACGCAGTGTTTCTTTAATATTTCAGGCCTTGCATCAGCTGCGACAGGAGGCCTGTCCTTGAGGTAACTGGAGAGTGGAGGCAGATGGTCCCATGTCACTTGCTGACAAAAACCAGGGGCGTATGTTTGGGCATTAACCTTTAGGGTTCGCAAAGGGCTGGAAGTTTGATCCCAGGACATGACCCTGACTAGCTCAGCCAAGACCCCCCGTTAGCTGTAATTTATCCCGCAGTTGACACACGGATGTCCTCCTGCTGTGCGGAGGGGCCCGTGGTGGAAGCAGTTTTAAAAGTGCATAAGTTGTATACAAGGCATGAAATTAAGCTTGCACATGCACATCTGAGGCAAGTGATTAGGGGGAGCAGGCGGGTCAGTGGGAGAGATTGGGAATGTTTCAGCTCTTCACACTCTGCTACTATTTATTTTTGTTTCTGCTGCTTTCTCCTCATCTGAGATAGTTAATGTCTGGAAACATTTCTCAAAGTATATGTTGGGCTGTGTTTGAACACAGGAGCTGACTTAAAAAAGCAACGTTTGTGAGTCCCAGCAATGTAACCAAACAAAGCTTTTTCCTCCCCCAGAACATCAGTCAGTGGAAGAAAATTTGAGGAAAAGATGTTATTTTATGTTTACTTCAGTATTCTAAGGAGGATATATGTAGTGGATTAGGAGTTTCTTTATTCTGGATTTTTTCCTTTCATGGAGAAACAGTAGAAGGACATTAGTTATTTATTCTGTCTTTCACTGTGACTGTTAAGTGTTTTTTACTGTTACTTTCTTTTCCGTTCCATAGGCTCTCCTCCTCCCCATCTTTCTCCTTCTTTGTGTTTCTCTCAAAGCTAATAGAGAGTCAGAATTAAAGTGAAGCAGGAGATCAGGTGGGAAGATGAGAAATCAATTAGGCCCGGTGCAACATTATGCATTCACACCCCCCTCTGTGGAGGAAGGACTGTCATTTTGCTACAGAATCAATAGAAATCAAAGATGCGTGTGTCTTTGTGGATGAACGCGTGCACACACAGTGGCATGGTGCAGCAATGAGAAAGCGAGACAGCTTACCATTTATTTGCAGTCCCTTATCCCCCTTGCCCTCCATCTGTGTTCAAAGATGTCTGATGCTCAGAATCAGAATGGTGACCCACAAACCTGGATTCAGGCTCCTGTGGGGTCTGGGCTGACCTTTTTGATGGGCTGTTTGCTGTAGTGTGGGATAAACAGTCAAGCCATCTAGATTAGGCAATAACCATCAATTTATCAAACACAAAAAGCCAAACAAATCAAGGACTGTTATGGCTCGCTCGTTGTAGACACAGCTAGGTACTCGACTGAAAACCTGCAGATTCTCTCATTAAAGTCACATTCTGTTTTCCTTTTTGTATCTGATAAATGTAGTAGATATATTGAAATGGAGAATGAGAGTGGGTGGATAGTTTTCATTTATTGTCTGTTATAAGTGCCGATATTGATATATCAGGAAATGACTAATATTGGCCAATATATCAGCCCTGCAGATGAAGACAGAATGTCATTAAATCGATAAATATATGGGCTTTCACATAAAAATGTATAAAAACAAGACAAATGTTCTCTTTTTCAATTGTTCAGATTAGCATGTGTGGCTAACATGTCTGGTTGAATGAATTTACAACGTTTAAGCAGTGGTTTTGCTAATAGCCACCTTCATTTTTCATGTATATTTTTAATATAACGGTCAAACATTTTTATTAGAGCTCTGATTTGATTTATTATGTATATTTAATAAGTTTTTTAAAATCCGTTTTATTAGTCCTGTTTTTCTGAGTCCAGAAAACATGTGGTCACCACAGGACAGTCACACTACAGGCATGATTTTATAGAATATCATCCACTATTGGAGATTAAACAACAGAAAGTATTTAAAATGGGCTTAGCCCTAAACATCTGCAGCAGTAATATTAATTCATATAACAGTGGTGGGGAACTACCACATGTCAGCTTATAGTAACTATATAGTAAAATAGTAAATATTTATTTAACTCCAGAAGTAATAATATTTTATAATTCTTTAATAATAATAATAAAAATAATACATTTTATTTATATGTGCCTTTAAAGACCCTCGAGGTACAATAAAATAAAAACACAAGGTAAACAAAAAATGAAAACAAGTATGAAAGTATAAAAGCTAAATAAGGTAAAACAGAGTAAGGTGGAGTCATGATGAAGGGTATGCAATTCTAAATAGATGGGTTTTAAGACACAGTTCAAAAGTAGAGAGAGAGTTTGTAGTCCGGAGATCTGGTGGGAGTGCATCCAAAGCCTCGGGGCAGAACAACTAAAGGCTCTGAGTCTTATGGTAGTCAGGCGAGCAGGTGGAGCAGACAAAAGGGAAGCTGGAGAAGAGCGGAGGGTACGAGGGGGTGAGTACATATGGAGAACATCAGATAAATATGGAGGAGCGAGGTTATGAAGCGCTTTGAAAGTAAGAAAAAGGATCTTGAAATTGACACGGAGGTGAATTAGAAGCCAATGGTGTTATATGTTCAGTAGATCTCATTCTGGATATAATACGAGCAGCTGTATTTTGAACTAACTGCAGTTTATGGAGAGATTTACGAGGTAAACCATAGAGAAGAGAGTTAATCTAAACGAGATGTGATAAGAGCATTGACAAGTATGGCGGTACTGTTAGCATATATAAAGGAATTAAAAGAGGCAGCACAAAAAGGGCACGTTTCAATCTGGCTAAATTTGTCACCTAATGCCACTGAATAGTCCAAGAAAAATACGACATTTTATTCTGTGTTACTATGCATTGCATTTAATCGCCTGTCAATTAAATAAAGTCCTAACCACTAAGGCAGTGCGTATGGTATTCTTATAACATTGAGTTGATGCTCAACACATGCATAAAGTTATGAAGTTATGATTTGTTTAATCACACAGAGCAGGGCTGCCCTACCAGTTAACCGTGTTTGCCAGATGATGTTAGCTACAGTAGCTATGTTTAGCTGATGCATCAAAGGTTTAGTTAATATTACGTGAGCTAATGTGGCTAATGTGTCTTTGGATTAAAATTAATTCATTTGAAAATAAATGTTTTAATGTAACAAAAACCTTTAATGCATTATCTCAGCTAGAACCATGATTTCTGCCTGAGTCACGTCAGGTAGATTTTCAGTGGTGGTAAAGCTTCCCATGAGCCCACCATATTTCATGATGACATCAAACTGCATCTTTTAGTATTGCTTTGATTCTCAGACCCCGAGAGAAATGACATTGTGGGTTTAATGTCATTTCTCTACTGTCTTTGTTTACTGTCACTGTCTCTAAAATATTTTATTCTCTTGTGCCTTGACTGTTTGAAAGCTGTCATGGAATCAGGCGTTAGTGTTTATTGATGATTTGACTGTTGATAGAAATGCATGTAACGAATTTTGAAGTGTATAGCGCTAATTGAGTTTCTCAAAAGAAATGGGATGTTCTTCAACGGCCAAATCAGTCGCCTGATCTCAACCCAACAGAGCATGCTTTTGCGTTATTAAATACAAAACCGAATGCAGAAAGACCCACAAACAAGCAACAAGCAGGTGGCTACAGTAAAGGCCACTCAAGGCTCAAGACAGGAAACACAACATTTGGTGAAGTCAGTGGGTTCTAGGCTGCAGGTATAGCCTTCAGGTGTATTTACATTTAAATTTATGTTTATGAAAATGGGGGGCTGTGTGTAAAAGTTGTTGTAATTCTTAAGTAGTTCATGCAAAACTTTTGTTAAATGTCTTGAATTAGAATAACTTTTGTGAATTAATGTTATGAATTCATTTTTTCAATGTCTGTACTTCAGTCACATATTGATAAAATAATGGCACATAATGACTGGATTTCAACATTTTTTTTTTCTGAATTATGTGTTGCAGTGCCTCCTCAGATTGTGGTTCGACCGCGGGACCAGATCACAACTCCAGGTCGTACCGTAACCTTCCTCTGTGGCACCAAAGGAAACCCTCCGCCAGCCGTCTTCTGGCAAAAAGAAGGCAGCCAGGTGGGAAACGTTCCATGATTTTGTTTACAGTAGTTATGAAACATACTCTAATGAGTCTTTATTATAAAGATTTAATAGGCTTGTTTATGTACAGTTTATGTAAAGTCAAAACATTAGCTGTTTTCCACATTTCAGTACCAGTACTGGCCCCCAAACATCACAAAGCCTTTAATTACCAAGTACATACAGACCTTTACTTTTAACTCCAAGGGATTTGGTGCTAACAGTATTATGTGCATTTTTTAAACCTTTTTCTTTCAAAAAAGTTGATTTTAAGCTATCTGAAAATGTGCTGCACAATAACATCAGCATGAAATAAAGAAAAACCTACAGGTGAATTGCATCATCACAAGCAGGGCTCTGGTAAAGAGGGAAACAGTAAACTCTCATATTGTAATGTGCTATAGATACATTACTTTTTCTTATATTTATTTTACCCAATTTAAAGTAAATCCCAATATAACTTCACACAACTTTTACATTTTTTAAATTTAAAAGAACACTTGACGAGATCAAAAAATGTGCTTTAAATGAGCCTTTATAGGATTTTAATTACCGACTCTGTTTGCATGCCACTTTGCTACATGTGCTTTGAAGAGAGCCAACATTTCCCTTCCTTGTCATGGTCTCTGCTTTTATCATCCTTCGCTGTGTGCTGTAGTTTACTGCCAGAGTGACTCTCTCTCTCTCTCTCTCTCTCTCTCTCACACACACACACACACACACACACACACACACACACACACACACAAACACACAACAAACACACACACACACACTTACACTTTCCCATCATCCACACAGTGTATTATTTACCAAAGACCTGCACGTTTTCAGATGTGTTGAGACGTGTATGTGTTTGTGGGAGAGAGTCACCCTGTGATAAGCATTGCAGCCTGTTGGAATGCACTGAAAGGCCTGATGAGACTGCGTGGGTGCCTGTAGCTTGGCTTCCAGGTACAGATTAGGGAAACAGGGGGTGGCAGGGTAGGCTGGAGAATGTGTGGGAGAGGGAGAACGAGTGTGGAGGAGAGAGATAAAGCAGAGAAAGCATGGAAGACGAGGAGAAGGAAGAGAAGAAGAATGTGGGTAGCTTGTTCGAAATTTTGGCCCCGCATTCAGTGAAATGCTGAGATTTTACTGGGTTTACACAGTGATATATGACAAAGAAAAGTAGAAATGAAGGGAGGTGTTTGTCATTTATTATTGCACAATAACACAGGCTAAGTGTCTAAGGCTCATTGTGAATCAACCTGTTCTCACTCTATATGCTATCACAGCACGGGTTACCTTGTATTGCAATGCGTATATATACTTTTTTTAACTGATCACCTGAGAAAGATACCATGTGATCACAGGAAGATGTCCTTTTTGTAAAAGAATGCATTTGAACTCTATGGATAATCTTTTTCTAAACCTAATGAAGTACTTTTGGACCCCAAATCTAATCAAACATGACAACAAAAGTACTTATTATATTGTATCTCATACAGGGAGTGCAGAATTATTAGGCAAGTTGTATTTTTGAGGAATAATTTTATTATTGAACAACAACCATGTTCTCAATGAACCCAAAAAACTCATTAATATCAAAGCTGAATGTTTTTGGAAGTAGTTTTTAGTTTGTTTTTAGTTTTAGCTATTTTAGGGGGATATCTGTGTGTGCAGGTGACTATTACTGTGCATAATTATTAGGCAACTTAACAAAAAACAAATATATACCCATTTCAATTATTTATTTTTACCAGTGAAACCAATATAACATCTCCACATTCACAAATATACATTTCTGACATTCAAAAACAAAACAAAAACAAATCAGCGACCAATATAGCCACCTTTCTTTGCAAGGACACTCAAAAGCCTGCCATCCATGGATTCTGTCAGTGTTTTGATCTGTTCACCATCAACATTGCGTGCAGCAGCAACCACAGCCTCCCAGACACTGTTCAGAGAGGTGTACTGTTTTCCTCCTTGTAAATCTCACATTTGATGATGGACCACAGGTTCTCAATGGGGTTCAGATCAGGTGAACAAGGTGGCCATGTCATTAGTTTTTCTTCTTTTATACCCTTTCTTGCCAGCCACGCTGTGGAGTACTTGGACGCGTGTGATGGAGCATTGTCCTGCATGAAAATCATGTTTTTCTTGAAGGATGCAGACTTCTTCCTGTACCACTGCTTGAAGAAGGTGTCTTCCAGAAACTGGCAGTAGGACTGGGAGTTGAGCTTGACTCCATCCTCAACCCGAAAAGGCCCCACAAGCTCATCTTTGATGATACCAGCCCAAACCAGTACTCCACCTCCACCTTGCTGGCGTCTGAGTCGGACTGGAGCTCTCTGCCCTTTACCAATCCAGCCACGGGCCCATCCATCTGGCCCATCAAGACTCACTCTCATTTCATCAGTCCATAAAACCTTAGAAAAACCAGTCTTGAGATATTTCTTGGCCCAGTCTTGACGTTTCAGCTTGTGTGTCTTGTTCAGTGGTGGTCGTCTTTCAGCCTTTCTTACCTTGGCCATGTCTCTGAGTATTGCACACCTTGTGCTTTTGGGCACTCCAGTGATGTTGCAGCTCTGAAATATGGCCAAACTGGTGGCAAGTGGCATCTTGGCAGCTGCACGCTTGACTTTTCTCAGTTCATGGGCAGTTATTTTGCGCCTTGGTTTTTCCACACGCTTCTTGCGACCCTGTTGACTATTTTGAATGAAACGCTTGATTGTTCGATGATCACGCTTCAGAAGCTTTGCAATTTTGAGACTGCTGCATCCCTCTGCAAGATATCTCACTATTTTTGACTTTTCTGAGCCTGTCAAGTCCTTCTTTTGACCCATTTTGCCAAAGGAAAGGACGTTGCCTAATAATTATGCACACCTGATATAGGGTGTTGATGTCATTAGACCACACCCCTTCTCATTACAGAGATGCACATCACCTAATATGCTTAATTGGTAGTAGGCTTTCGAGCCTATACAGCTTGGAGTAAGACAACATGCATGAAGAGGATGATGTGGACAAAATACTCATTTGCCTAATAATTCTGCACTCCCTGTATTTGATATTTGATACTTCATTATTTGGTAGTATGACTTGGTTCTGAGACCTCTGGACCTTTCTTGACATTTTGTCGCATTTTCATGAGAAATGGGGAGCATGGGAGCTTTTCCCCCTTCCCACCCTGTTTGTCGGCGGCAGCTCAAAATGTGTGCATCCAACCTTACTGCACAAGAAGATGAATTCTGATTTTTTTTATGCCCTATATCATATTTTTGAGTCATCGGCTAATGTGCAGAGCTTGACTTTTTCACCTGCCTGAGCAGAAAAAAAGCAGAATTACAATTAAAATTAAAATTAAAATAGAAATAGCAGCATGGTGGTTAGCACTGTTGTCTCACAGCAAGCAAGTCTTGAGTTCACCAGCAGGCCAAGGTCTTTCTGTGTGGAGTTTGCATATTCTCCCTGTGTTTGCATGGGTTCTCTCCGGGCACTCTGGCTTTCTCCCACAGTCCAAAGACATGCATTTAGTGGGGAAAGGTTAACTGGAAACTCTAAATTGCCTATAGGTGCAAATGAGGGTATGAATGTGAGTGCAAATGGTTGTCTGTTTCTATGTGTTATCCCTGCAACAGACTGTGTTAGACCTGTCCAGGGTAAACCCTGCCTCTCGCCCTGGGGCTCCAGCACAAGGCTCCAAATACCTTTCAAACTTCTCAGCTTGTCCTTCACTCATTTTCAGTCCAGTCCTTGTACTCGAGTATTTTCAGAGAACTCTTCATATGTTAAGCCAGTTAACACTGACATATGAATCATAAAAATGGCACATAATGCATGAGATGAAGCAGTTTTGTGTCCATGCAAAACAGGCAACTTGGAAAAGATCCTATTTAAATTGTGTCTTTAAGACACTTCGCATAAAATTGCTGAATGGTTGCTTGATAGTTTCACAACTTGCCATTTTAATGTTGGCCCTGTTTCAGCCCACGTAAAATAATAAAGCAACTCCTGTGGTCGTTTTCTTCTCCAGATCTTGCTGTTCCCTGTCCAGGAGCCATCACAGTCAGGACGATTCACAGTGTCACTGAGTGGTGAGCTGACCATCAATGATGTCCAAGTTGAAGACTCTGGCTATTACATCTGCCAGGCCATCAGCGTGGCTGGAAGCATCCTGACCAAAGCCCTGCTCGAGGTAGAAAGTGGTGAGTATAGAAATATGAGATCATAGCTCACAGTATAAACAAATTAAACTTAATGGTGATAACATTAAAACTACAGCTAAATTATATATGGAGAAAAACTAGACTATCTCAATCCTTTCATATTGATTCAGTCTCCATTTTCTGTTCAAAATCAGTGTTTTTCTTGGCTTCGGGCATTTATTCATAGACTCAAGATCTAAGTTTAGTTAAAATGACATCTTGACATCATAACAATCACTGTCCTACAAAGTAATATAATTAGAAAACCTATATGCTTTCAAAGAAAATGTAGCTGTGAGAGGACACGACTGAACAAAAGAGCAGCAGAAATTGCCATATGGTAACTGTGCACATATCACTGACACTTGTGCATCCAGTTTAACCCAATACTTTAAGAACTCTGAGGAAAAAAAAGTGCTGAAGTTAACAATGTGTCATATTTGACGTTGTCTTGTTACATTGTTTTCAGATTCTGATTTGATTAATCATTCTTCACGACCATGCCCCACATGTGCACCAGTAGAAGTACGAAAAAGTTGTCATCCATCTTAAATTAAACATCCTTTTTTCCCAAATAAACAAACAGCAGGAGTCCTATCTGATGTAATCAAAAGGGACATATGATGATAGTTCTATGCAAATAACCTTGCTGCAACATATGCTCTCCTCGCTGCATCCTTTCCAGTGTGGCAGTAAACAGGGATTTTGTTCAGCTCCATCTAGACTAACTCCTGTGTTGGGTGTGTTCACATTTCCAGTTTAGCTTCAGTTAGCTGATGATATCAGAGCTTTCGACGGCTCAGAATACAAATGAGGGTATACAACGTGACTGTGGGCCAGTGGTAAATAGTAAGGTTCTATTTTGGGGTATCATGTTGTGGGTTTGTGTTCAACTTGTTCCACTTCTATTTATAAATGTGCAGGAATTTACTTGGCTTATCTAAACTGATCATAACTCAGTTGCTAGTTGGCAACACGTGTGCCATTCTGTTTACATTTGAGCTTGAGCCTACAGCCGTGCAGCTGTGGAGCACACCCATATATGACTATGACTTTCTCTGAGATCACCGTCTATGGCTTCAACACAGATGTAATGAGGCAGTGTGATAATTTGCAGGTGACAGACCCACATGCAAACTCCCAAGGCTGACTGAATATTTTTATATATATATTTTTGTTAAGGTCAGATGCCAAGGACAAAATTCACAAAGGAAACCAAACAAGTCCAGACGCCCCAAGAATAACTGAGAAAGCATGAGAGAGATTATGCAAAATGAGACAGGACTATTTATACGCACACTGAGGCCAGTCAGGGGGAGTGGACGCAGCTGGGGAAAACATAACATGAGTGTAGTCTGGATAACAATAGTAGTGGGGAAGCAACACAAACGGAAATGAAAATTAAATTCTGCAAGCACAGCTGTCAACTTGTCAAACTAAAATTTAACAACAACAAAAGGCTCCAAATACTAAGATCCAAATATGATAAACAAAAATTCTAAAGAGATACAAGAACCTAAACGTTAATAATAAATTCCATAAATACTCAACTGGAAGTGAAAGACGGAAACGCTCAGCCTGATATAATTCTGATGATAATCATTACAAATCACACAGGCAAGGAGGACTTAAAAATAACACAGTCCAAAACAAACCCTCAAATCAATGGAAAATTTAACTCAAACTATTTATAAAAATGTGAGCTCATTTTTATCTCCTCTTCCTGTAAGCTTCTTCCCCTTCACCACACCTTTGACAATAAAACCTTCTGTTATCTCTCATTTTGAGACAATGAATCAGTGAAGCTGTTCAGCACACGTCTTCATTTCAAAGAGTCAAAAGGGTGTGAGAATCAATTTGCCTGCATGCATAGCCACACATCCACATTCCCAAAAGTGGCCTCGTAGATGAGGGAGATTTGAGTCTAATAATCTAATCTAACCTAATCTAATGACTTTAGCTTTCATTGCTGGATGAGATGGAGATATAAAGTACATGCTTGTCAGTATTTTGTCTTTAACAAACCAACTCGTGAAATATTTAACAGATAAATTATGCAATTAAATATTCTTTAAATAATATCTATACTTTAACTGGTTTAAAGTTATTGAAAATATCTTACGTTGCATGGTTACCTAGAGACATTTAAAATCCAATATAAAAATTCATTCAGCCACTACTCGGTGCGATGCAGCGGTCCATGACTGACAGGAGGTCACTGTAGCCACACATTCCTGCCTGAGACAAATCTGTGCCATTGATTTGCATGTTGAAGTGGAGCAGCAGCAGAGAAAGGTAACCTGAGAGCCTTTGGCAGTAAATGTTCTCTTATAGTGATACTTTACATTCCACATGAGAGAAAATGTGGTTCCATGGGTCAGTATGAACATCTGTAACCCCGAGATTACACACGCTTGACTTTAGTGTGTTTTTCTCTGTGACTTTGGTTTCATTATAACTGCCTTCAGAAACCAAAGTAGACCTCACTTAGAGAGAAATATCACCTACAGCTGGCACTGTAATATAAACAAAGACAAACCCTGTTGATGAGGCATTTTCTTCTGGTCGAAGGTCACCTTTAAATGACAATATTTGATGTTACATTTATTTTGAAAGAATTCATATCAAATAAGAGACAACATGCATTGTCCATTATTGAGAATCATAATTCTGTGGTAGCCTGTGACAATGTCCTGCATATTCACTATTCCAAACTTTTTCTGTTTTCAAAACGCTTATCAGGTTATCAGATCAGAGAAATCATGTTGGCATAGGGTGTCACAGTTTGCACTGGCAGACTGTGTGGAGAGAGGAGGAGGACCTAAATGCAGACATTTGGAGCAAATCTATAATTTAACAAAGGGTGATCCGTTTATTTGTGGCTGGGAAAAAGGTACAAAACAAAAGGCAGATTAACACTAAGGCAAAACTAATTAGAGCTAAACTGTGAGAAACTAAATGCTAAACACAAGAGACCAAGAACATAAAACCCTGAACATGATGAAAACCTGGAAACATGGAGGCATGGAAACATGACATGAACTCAACAGACCAACAGACAAGGAATGAATGAAAACACAGATTAAATGCACACAGGAGGTGATCAGGGGAAGTGGAAACACATGGGGAAACAGCTGATTAGAATAAATATAATGACACTACAGGGGAAGTGAAACCAAACACAATGAACATGGAACACCAGCCCTCTTCAGAATAAAACGGGAAGCATAATGAGATGCAGACATGCCATTACGAGCTTGATAACATAGGACACGCAGACATGAAACACATGAAGGGCGAGGGAGACTTAAACACAGGGGTGAAGACACAAGGAGAATCTAATAAGCAATAAAGTATGGCAGGGCAACATCGGGCAAAATAGAAATGAATTTAGATAAGCTGATGAACATCAAAATAGAATAAAACTCAAAGTGCTGGGTCAAATGACCCAGGATCGGAACACACAGACAATAGAGACAGCCTAAAACCAGGAACTCTCATGTTGTCAGGTGATAGTGCAAACAACTGCTTCACCATTCTCACAGTGCCTTAATTGCCTCTTGGGGATAAATAAAGTCTTTCTGATTCTTTATGATGAAAAACCCCATATAATGTCACATCAGATTACTTGGAAAAAATTTAAGCTATCTAAAGCAAAATTAGATCTAATTTTTATTTTTAATGTAATGGCACCTTTGGAAATTTCAATAGTTGTGTTTGTTTTTGTTGTTGTTTGGAGGATGTCTACCAATCTCTTGTGTCAAGGGTGATGATGATGAAGCCAATGAAAAGTGTGGATTCACCTTAGTTTACTACTAAACTGCAGTACTGTGTGTGGTTCTGGAAACTTTTTCTTGTCGAATTGCCACAAATCTAACAAAGACTCTAGACCCAAAACTCAACATTTACTAATAATGTCGTCATAGTAACCTCTTGACAAGTAAATAATAATAATACTGTTTGAAATCTCTGTAATATTTGTTGTTTGTTGATTTGGTGTGTTGTTGGACGAGTCTGGCAACGCATCAAAATTATTTGGACATCTGAGAATAGTCATTTTTACTTTTTGAAAGGATCCGTCAAAAGATTGTTCTTTCACAGATCCTCTACACGTAAAAGTATAAAGAGCTTGCAACACCAGTAATTATAGTAGTTTTATTGAACACTGAAACAAACTTATATGTCCGTCTCATTGTCTTAGACAGGACTATCTGTAGATTTCTGCTTTCTGCAGAACACAGAGACAGACAGTGATAGATCACAAAGATCCTCAGAATAATGACAATAAACTTTCTGCTACTTTCGTGATGGTAGGCAGTGGGACAGTTTATGAAGTTTGTTTTCTGAAGTTTCAACTGCTATAATATTGTGTTTTTTGGTGCAAGAAGTGAAGCTAGATTAATAAATTAATAAACTGGATTGATAGACTATTGGCCTGATGAAATACCCGCTAATTATTGGTTATATTAAGTATCACACAGAAAAACCAGGGGAAATTGTGAAATTGAAGGCACCAATACCACAAACATGGTCAAGAGGTTAAGTTCTAGCTGGCTTTATAAGCTTTCACCTGTCAGTCAAGCAACTGTGTCCGCAATTTGAAATCAAGTGTTTAACTTTTAAAAAATCCCAATGAAATTATTTTTACAGACCTAGAAAAATACTTTTTCTTCTGTTAAATTGAGCATTTTACCCAGGGAGCAAAATCTTAGGTGTCATTACATATAAAATGATTTAGATGTTTGCGTCCTTTCGAATACTTTCTAGGCTTTTGATCATTTGCATTTATGCTAGATAAAGTGTAGTGGTGCAAACGCTTCAGTACAGTGAAGTAATCACCTTTGGTTCAAATCCCATCCTCATGTGAATGTTCTATGTTCCTACAGCACCTTCAGACCGGGTCCCTCCCATCATCCGCCAAGGACCAGCCAATCACACATTAGCTCCTGGATCCATGGCTCAGTTACACTGTCACATCATGGGCAACCCCATGCCCAGCATACAATGGGAAAAAGATGGCCAAAGGATCCTGGGAAATGATGGTCGAATCAGCTTGATGGAAAATGGAACTTTTCAGATCACCAACCTCCAGGTACTGGAATAAGACTCATACTCTTACATTCATTTGCTGTTTAATAACAATGCAAATATAGTGCGTTTCATTTTTTTCCAATCCCATGTTAACGAAGCCGTTTGCTTTTTAAACTCGCGGCTTTTCTATGATGACATTCAGCAGTGTGTATTTTATAGTCCCTGTAATCCCACCACACTCATTAAAATGTATCCACTGTCTGCATGTATCAGTATTAGCACATCAAACATGATGTAGTTTACAGAAGATAAACCTAATCCAAGAGATAAAACAACAGCTTTAATTCCAGGAAAGTATGAAGCATTTAAACAGAGGACAATTTTACGGTTGACTCAGACGATGAGTTTTTATGAGCGGAGGAGAGGTGGGGAACATTGAGGTGTGATCAACATGACAATGAGCGTGTGAGGCCATTAGCGGTCGTTAGCGCCGTCTTACTCCATGCTAATGAAATCTATTCTGCCCAGAATTCCCTCCTGGGTACGAAGCAGCACCTGAGGTCACTGCAGCCTCGAAGAGACTCGAGGAGGCGTGCGCATTAATTGATTGTGGGTTCTCAATGATTAACGATCGCTGAGACTTGTAATTAAATCCTCAATGCATCAGTACAAGTGAGGACTGGATGAATAAAAGAGAGGGCTAGAAACTGAGAAACAGGGGTGAGGGAGAGGATAGAAGCAGAAATAGCTGAGACTCAGAGGCCTAAAGTACATTTTAAGATGCATTTGTGTCATGGTGGAATAAAAGGAAATGTCTTGACAGCTGAGAGCACCATCTTGGAAGTGCTCAGCCTTTGGAACTCATTTGAAGCTGTCAGACAGCATGTTGAAGTTCTCATCAGACTTCAATTCATTTTGATCTGGAACATCAAAACCAATGGTATTTATGGCCTAAGACTGCAGGAACAAGATCACAGAATTACACATAAAAATTATTCATTTTGAAATGTTGTTCCATACACTTAAGAAGATGCCTTGTCAGTGATGACATACATTTTTTTGTGGAGTCCATCACTAACACAAGGAATCAAGACCCAGAGTCATGTCGAAATCCATCGTCTGTGTTGCTGTACAGGCAAGTGGTTTGAGCTGTAATGACGGTAGAAAAAATCCCAAAATACAGTCATCCAAGCAGCTCTCCTGCTTTGAACTAACATCCTATCATTTAGTACACAGGCTCGTCATCTTATAATATTAATTTGTAGAGAATTTACCTGTAGAGTCGATAAAGTGCATTGAAAAGAAAGTTGTTTCATTTTGATTATGTTAGCATGACAGCATGTGAATATTTAACCTAGCTGTCACTAAACAGGATGTAGATCTGATATATAATATGTTTTATAGGTCTTTGGTAACGAACTAAAGGTCTGGGTAAATGTTTAACCCAGTAATGGTTAAGTAATCCAGGATTTTTGCTTATGAAAGTAGATATCTTGACATTTCGGCAACAAATACAAAGACAAACTAATTATTTTGACATTGAAGTTTGGATTTAAAAAAAAACAACACATTTTGTATTGGACACTAAAATTTTAGTAGCAGATCATTCAGATCACATACGTTGTGAGATGGGATTCAGTAGGTGCCCACCCACACCCACACTGGAACCACCGACAAGAGTTTTTGACATGCTTTAAGCCATACTCCCTCTCAGTGTCTCAGAAAAACCCAATAACTTTTCATTCTGTTCTATTTACATGCTGCCTAATAATGTGTTTAAAAGATGCCATTGTGACAGGAAGTAATGCTATTTGTTACATCATAGCTTCATTGCTACATTGATAATCCATCAGCTATAAAGATATTTCATTCATTGCCACAAATGTCAACACATTTTATCAACATAGTCCAGTTCCATTAAATGTCCCATAAATGAAATGCAGTCGTTTTGAAAGGAACCTGTTACTGATGACGACGATGATGATGATGATGATGAAAAACAGAACAGGGGACATATCAGCTCTGGGTGCTGCAGCACCTGCCACTATATATCTCAGGGGACTCAGCTATAAGTCTTCTCATGTAGGCTAACCAAGTGACACACACTGTGGTTAAACATCCATTTGACCCATGGCATTGGATTATAAGAGATTCAATTCAAATAAAGTCTTTTAGATAATCCCCAAAGTTTGATTCTCTTCATTTGGACGCAGCGTTTTCAGTGGGAGAAACGTTTCGTCACTCATCCAAGTGACTTCTTCAGTCTCAGCTGACTGCAGGTTTCCCCAACCTTATAAACAGTACATTTGCATAATGACTGAAACCAGCCCACTGAAGGAACAGTGGGCTGGGAGGTCATTTCCTTTATCATTATTATATTATTATCATTAATATGCAAATTCCCATGACCATAGAAGTCACCTGGATGAGTGAGAAAACGTTTCTCCCACTGAAAACGCTGCGTCCAGATGAAGAGAATCAAACTTTGGGGATTTACTTACCTGGATGATTGAGCATGCATCAAGATGTTTTAGATAATGGGACTAAACTGCTTTGTTGTTGGTGATATTTTTTATTATACAAGGATTGGCTGTGGACAATGTGTCAAAGCAATGAAAAGAAGTTGCTAAGAAACAGATTTTCTTTTTCTTAATAATATATATTAAAATAAGTAAAGGCAAATGTTTACAATGTTTTTTCAGTGATTGATTTTTTTTTGTTGCCATCTACACTGACAATTGTTAAACCTGGGGTAGTTTAAAAGATTCATAATGCTCATTTTAAAAAGCTCTTCTATGAATTAGCTCTAAAGTCTAAACATGTTAAATACCAAAATAAGCATAACCTTTAAAATGGACAAACAATGAAATCAGACATTTAACTCAGTATAAATAAGTCAATTTCCGCTGTGCCCCTGGAGTAGGACAGATGGTCTGTTTGTTCCTTGTACCCTGGCAATGAGGAGATGCCATTATCCTGGGATCTCTGCCAGACACACTCTATCGTTGTCCGTCACTTTGGTGCCAAGACTCCCAGGCCAGACGGGACGTGTATGTGTGTGTGTATGGCGCTGCTAAATCGTAGCAGGCCGTGGGGTACGTTATAGGGGCTACTAATGTTAGATAAATACGGAAGCGAAACAGGTGAAGGCCAACAAAGCCTGGGGAGTGTGAGAAGGACTACATGGACACAGCTAAACAGATTTCTGGGAGTAATCAGATTAAAGCAGGAAATCAAATTCCTATGTTGACTTTAAATCCCGGCATACACGCGTTATAGTTGATAATCAGATTTTCCTTCTGCACACACCCAAAAATAGGCTCTGACATCATTATCACCCTTCTGGCTGCTGATGTGCAGGATGTTTATGCTGGTGCTTTTGGGATGGGGTGCAGGTGGAGGGTAAATGAAAAGGGCACCAATGTTCACATTGCTCTGTAGGACTGCCAGATTATTTCTGCAAATTGTATTAAAAAATATCTCAAAGATCAAATATGTGCTATTTAAAGCATAAAAAATAAACATTGACATGTGCCTTCTTTAGGATTGGCGCTCCTCCCTTCTGCTCTCCTCTTGCCTCATACATTTTTTAGAAATGTGTTTTGCGCGCTTGCCCAAAGCTGCCAGCCTTGATTAATAGTCAGGTGTCCCAGCTATTTACCCCACCCACCCTCTGTGCGGAGTCCCTATCCACCGATCAAATGCTACCATCTGGGGGCCCCCTTTTTCCCCTCAGACAGACGCACAAGCCGGCCTACAGGTCAACTCAAGGTCAGGGCCTCTAGAAAGAGGAGAGATGAGTCACCCTGAGCAGGAGGGGAGAGGGACTGAGCGTGTGCACAGTGATCAGCGAGGCATTAGGTGTGAGAGGTTCTGCTGTCCACATCTTCTGCATAATGTGAAAGGTTTTCATTGCAAGTAAAATGAGCTGATGTGGCAGAATAAGTGAGTAAGGGAAGGCTGATTGTGTTTGCAGTGGATTTATCAATTGCCATGTAAATTGATGAACTACTGAAACATCTCACAGCAAGCAGCTGAAAAACTAACTGCAACCACACACACAGAGCTGGAAATAATTATGTATAGAGCCAGGAGGCCTTGTAGGCGTAACTTATATTAACCACAGTCTTTTGTCTTCATCATTTATTGCAAACTGAGGTGTGACACATGGAGTTTTAAATGTGTGTTAATGCAAATAGTTTGTTTGACATATTTTCTCACATAAAAGCACGTATTACCTCTTTCCCATCAATACAGTAACAATCACCAAGGAGTTCAAGGGAGCAGAGGGTAGTTGCCTTCTGAGGTTGCAGCCCAAGAAGCCCTGACATTATAAGCACTCTTTCTTCACCAATACATCAATAAGACTTTTTTTTTTTTTTTGGAGCTGTGTGTTTGCTCTGTGTCGTAGGTTTTATGATGAAAACAGAGTCGGAGAAACATGCTTTTATGCTTTTTTTATATATAGGTTTAATAGTTGCTAGTGCTGCAAAAGTATATTATTACTTACACCAATCAATTCACATCAGTAGTGTGCTACAGACCTATCCTGGTGTCAGAGCTAACAGGAAATTTAAGACACCTGGTGATGTAGATTCCTCTGATCTAGAAGGACTTTGTGTTATTTACCAGCATGTATGCTATTTGATTAGCCAAGTGGTGGGTGCTCCGTTTACTTAAGTACACATCTCAGTATGTTATGGCTCACACGCAGTAAATGTTCCCACCCCTTTCTTGATGTTTTAGCACTGTTTAACACTAACACTGAACATGAGATGATTTTTAACAGAATGAATGAAATGAATAAGTGGTCAACCTGAAGGGATAAAGTTCAAGTAATTAAAAAGCATGTTTAGAGGCACTGCTCTTGCAAACTGCTGCTACCTTTAGTGTCACAGTGAAAGACCCCCTAGCAGCTCCTTCTTGTAAGCAATTTCACAGCCCACCTAGCTTTTGGCTTGCTTTTCTAAAAACTTAATAGTATTCAGCTATACACACACTCGTACACACAGGCACATTTATCACACACTTCTTAATTACATCTGCTCATAGCCTGTCCAGAATGCTAAGTAGCTGTTGAGTAGAAAGACTGGTGCCTCAGACATTTCTAGACCTCTAGCTGGTCATTAAAATTCTGTCCTTTGATCCTTTGCTTTAACTCTCCTCCTTAGATGAGAAACATAAAAGCCACCAGCTTGACTTTAGCTTTGACTTCAGATAGGTCCACTGAGATTCTATCATTTATGGAGGAAAATAAAATAACTGCATTTGACAACATCTCTGAAGTAGAAGTTAATTAAAACAGATGTTATGTTGAGGTAGCCTAATCAGAATGGAGATTGTCATGTGTAAGTGATTCCTGGGAGAAAAAGATTTTTAATATAGTGTTATGACGAATAAAAGCAGAACAAGATAAACACATTGTAAATATTATTTCAAGTGCCTTAACAGAAATGTGATTTTTTTAAGGTATTGAACTGTAGATGATAAATCTTGTAGGATGTCACTATAGGTCGAAACAATACTAATGAACTCCATCTGAATTACCATGTGGCCCATGTGCCTTTAAACTTCATCTGTGAGTTGTTCCATCAATCAGCACACCAGTGACTCTGTGCTGCTGTCAGGAGTAGATGTCATTAAAAGAATCACAGCATTCAGACATGAGCGTTCTTCCAAGAATCTCATGACATATGAATGTGTTGGTGTTATGACTCACTCAGTACTCTTAATTTTGGAAAAGTTGTAACGGCTGTCTCACTTACAGTAACAATCGTGTTGGATTTTCAACACATCATTAGTATGAATGTTGGTCAAAGGGCAGAAGCTTCCTCTAAAGACTCGAGACATCTGCAGACTTTTGAGGACGTGCTGGTGCTGCTCTAAAACATAATGAAGTGGCATGTTTAATGGGCATGCTGTGTTTTATTTTGAAACTTCATTTATTTTTCTGCGCTTTTATTGTGTCTCACTTGCTGCCCTCTTCATCTGCTCTGGGTAGTTTAGTATGGCTTTCTTTGGAAACGTGCTGTGGCACGTCTGCTAGAATGGCAGCCTTGGCCTTGGCCTTGGATATCATCAGCCAGTGTAACAGACAACACATGGGTAAAGCTAGCCTCCAGGCTGTCTCTGCCAGAATGAGACTGTAGCTGAAAACAGACTTAGATGCTTTTTATAGTTGTTCTTAATAGTGGATGAATCACATTTTAGTATTTCTTAGGTCTTTGATGACAGATTGTTCTGTGGCAACACTAATATAAACTAATGTTGAACTAAACTAGTTTAGCCTTATAGTAATATAAGGGCGGAGAGCCAGGAATTTGAAAACAGTGCCTTCAGATAAGTTTATTTAAGTATATTTCATATCTCCTTTTATGTTGGCACACCACAACAGCTTGTCCAAGCACAATGAGTCAGCAACATGGGGCGAAAGGTTTCCAATGTTCCTCTTGGTTCCTGAATAAAAACAAGAGTGGCACTAAGTGGCCCAGGTCTGAATGAGAGAAAGCCACCTGTACGGCAGATTGATGAAGGTAGCAATTTTCTATATTCTACTTTTCAAAAGGTCTTTAGGGATGAATATACACAAAGCTAAAAGAAGGTTCATCTTTCTTAGACATATAGCCACAAATGGGAGCTGCATGATGCTACAAGTTGACAGTAATAAGCACATTTTTCTGTACTGTGAAAGTGCATTGAAGGTATAGTTACCTGGTTGGCTTTGCATTAATAAAATCTCCCTGCTCCAAAAGCTTTGCATCCACACCAACTTCCAACTGCTCAGCACTCTCTCTGCAAACAATCTGGTTGGAGAGATATGACATTTAGTCTCAATCACTGGTAATGGGTGCATTACCACAGTATCACACACACGCATGCACAATAAACTAATGATACACGTTTTACTGTTGCCAGGAAACAGACTCTGGGGTTTACACCTGCCTGGCTAGCAGCTCCAGCGGAGAGACGAGTTGGAGTGGAGTGCTCACAGTCAAAGGTAAATTGTCTCTGTGTGATTTAAATACATGCAAATGGAAGCTCTATGAAGTGTCTGCATATAACACAGAGATGCTACATGTGACGAGAAAGAAAATGTCCATGTATATGAAGTGCTGTTTAAAAAAGTAATGCTGATTGTCACTTGTTAAATGTCTCCTTATTAAATGTGGGCAACTTAAAATTCATCAGCTGTGACTGAGTGTAGGATGTGTGACTTCACTGTAAAAAGCCAGAGTGTAGGTAGTGTTCCTCATGTCTGTGTAATTGCTTAAATGAAACAAGTAGCTGGGTCTAATTAAAGCACTTAGCCCCTGCTGTTCCTGAGCCAACTGCAAATCTAAATGTCAGTAATTGTATGCATGTGAATCCTGGGGTGAAGAGAAAGGACAAGAGAGGTAAAGCAAAGGTGAGAATATGCTGATGACCAAATTTGGGGTACAAATGTGAGATATCATCTGTCTTAAAACACCCCATTTATTTAAGTGCTTTGTGTGGCTCTGCCCTTTTTTACTTTCTCTGCAGTGGAGCAGGCATTGGCACATAAAATATTTCAAGCAGTAAAAGATTTGTTTATATGACATTAAATGAAGCCTTTAACGACTTAACAAGCTACTCTGATAACACCTAAGTCTGTTATTTGACTATTAGTGTCAGAACAGTTGACTCGGGTGTAACAGCAAAATCACAAAGTCTGTTAGAAGTGAGGAGCTCCACCTGCGGCGATGAGGATGCTAATGCTCAGTCAACATTAGTGGGACTACAGAGAGGACGTAATGAAACAGTAGCACTAAAGCCAGCTGTTATAATTAAATGTGCACTATTCTCTTCCACCTTTCCTGCTACTCCTCCTCCTTCCTGTCGCTTCCCTTTCCATTCAGAGAGCGCAGACGTGTCGGTAGCTCAGGCCACTGAACCCTTCCAGCTGCCAGGCCCGCCACATAAGCCCATAGTCACGGATGTGTCCAAGAACAGTGTCTCTCTGACCTGGCAACCCAATGCCCATGAGGGAGGAGCCGCTGTCACCTCCTACATCATTGAGGCCTTCAGGTAAGTTGACATTGCTATGTTAATCCAGAGCTCTTCATTTCTCTTATACTTTTTGCACTTCTCACCTGTGGTTGTGTGTCTGGATGTAGAGTGGGTTATCTACCAATCAGAAGGTTGGTGGTTTGATACCTGGCTCTGTATAGCGAAGTATACTTGTGTAAGATACTGAATCTCAAGTAGGCCCCGATGCATCAATCAATGAGTGTGTGAATTTCAGAAAAGAGTGTTTTTATCATTGTGTTTGTGTGAATGAAGTTTGAAATTAAAAAATGCTTTGAGTGCTCAGTTACAGTAGAAAAGTGCTATATAAGTACAAGTGCATTTACATTTGTCTTCTTTATTTAACAGTTTTAGGATTTTTTTCTGCAGAAGCCGTGCTCCTTTTGGAACCAAGAAATACTAAATACTAGTTTCTTTAATGTGACTCCAACTTAAACTGAGTAATAATCTGGAAATAATAATATTATTAATTTGATGACAAGTTGCTGATAAGTCGCTAAAAAACACCTTGACACCTTAACAACCTAAAATAATATTGTCTTTTCTCTTGTGGCTTATCTAAATCTGAGTGGGCCTCCACAGAACCCTACAGGTATCTTCACCTGAGCAGAGGTCAGCCTTGGATTAATTAGACCCAGAATAGATTTAGCTAAACAGGGCGGGTGGTTCAGAAGGAAGCCTCTAGATGAAGATAGGCAAATGAAATATGTCCTGCCAATTTGATAAAGATGGGGACACCGGCAGCGCTTAATCAGATCCAGACGTCCACTGTGTCCCATGGCAACGCCTGAACATTTCAGAATAAAGCAAACGGATTTTCTCTAAAGCAGCTGGAGGGGACCACAGGGATGTTTACAATAACATTTCCTTGCCTGAGGCTTGTTTGTAGGAGCACTAGTATGTCTGCTTATGCCATATGTGGTATGTAATAGGGTTTATTTAATGCACAAAGGCACACTTTCCATTTTCCTGCTGATGCTGTATCGATTTTGTCTTCTGTACACCTGTGTGAACTCTCTTCCACCATAAAGTTGCCTTGAAGCCAGTACTCAGGGTGTTGTGCTCACATACGCACACGCACACAAACACACGCCACACACACATCCAGACACACACACATGTGTGTGTATTCATATCCTTGTGGGGACATCTCATTGACATAATGCTTTCCCTAGCTGCTTACCCTAACCCTAACCATAACAAATGAATTCCTAAACCTAAACCTAACCATAACCAAACTGTAACCCTGAGACTAAAACCACATTTTGAGTCTCAAAAATGCCTTCAAACTTGTGAGGACTGGGATTTTGGTCTCTGTAAGGGCTGTTGGTGCCCACAAGTATAGTAAACTTCCAATGTTTGGTCCCCACAAAGATATGAATACACACACACACACA